GGATGAAAGGAAGCGAAAGAAAAGACTTCATCTGAAGGAAACCGAGTTGAGGACTGAATTTACMTCTGAAGCACAGCAACAAAACTGCTCTGTTGATCCATTGGARCCGTTTGATCAGATTCATCCCATTCTCGATCATCACCATCAGGTCTTGCCCACACCTACATCCTTGCCGATCGAGAACTGCAGCGACCTATCTCACTCGACGAACTACCTGGCTGGAATGCCTGATGAGAACCCCATGAAGATGACTGCCATGACCGATTCATGTTCTGCTGGTATCCCTGCTCGTGATCCAATAGAGATGCTATTGCTCCAGGATTTGCAATTATACCTAGAGTTAGCTTTCTGAAATAGTGATAACGTCTGTCAGGGCGATATTGCATGCAATGTATATATTTGTTTATTCTGAAGTAATTCTACAACTTCTTTTTTGTTTATTGGGGGTCCATCATGGTTGATATTCCACGCCACAGATGGTGGCTCAGTTCTGTATAGATAAGTTGTTTATTGTTCATTTATATATGTTATTCATATTTTTTTATAATTCACATTTGTATAGTAGCAGTTCTTTACGTGGCTAAACTTAAGAAAGACTTTTTTTTTCCAATTTTTGCAGAATTTTAGCTTTGAAGTTCTTTTAGTTTTYCCTTCATTTTCCTTTTGATCATCTGCACTTTGTAAACGAATCAATTAATCAATAAAATGAGCAGTTCTTCTGTCTAGCTCCTTTAAATTTGTACTCTGCTTCCTTGTTTGCAGGACAAATGGACTAAGGTAAATTAAGTAACGGTGGTCTGGACATATGGAATAGTTCTTGATATATCAAAAAAGAATAAAAACTAAAAAATGGTGGTCTGGACATGGAGCCAAGCAAGTATCGGCATATGTCATTATATGGTAAACATGTTATAAGGGGACCCTATCTTGCCTTGGCCTCACATCCAGAGCACTATTACTTTTTTTTTTTTTTTTCCTTTTCTGAGTAAGGTAAAATAATGCATTTTATTAATACTCAAAAAGCCTATAAACCTATGTACAACAGATTACTGTGGTCAAGGAATATATACATATTCACTATATATTC